GCCTCTAGGTCACATCCCTGACCCCGGCCAGTGCCGTCTCCTCCTGTGCAGTCAGCTGCTGTGCCCATCAGTGCACAGACCCCACTCAGGAGTGGGTCCCCGTGATCCTGTCACCTTCTGCCCACATGGGGACGGGGGTGGGACATCCACCATCTCAGCCATCACAGTGTGCCTGTGCCGGCTGTCTGCTGTCCTTTCTTGGGGAGTAATCTCCTTCTCCTGGGTAAGTTAGGCGTTAATAGGGTGAGAAGCTGATCTCCCACTGAAATAGAGAGGACTCTGACCAGTGACCCTTACACGTGGGCCCAGCTGGTTCCTCTGTCTGGTTGTCACCCACTCCCTCTCCTAGAGACAGGGCCAGCCTCAGGACAAGGAGGTACAGATACACAGAATTCGAGGCGGCGGTGACCACTGATATCCCTGAGCCCCAACCCTTCTTAAATTTTATACCACCTGTCCCAGCCCTGTCCTGGGGCACCGTCTCTGCTGTGCAGCCTCGGAGAGGCACTGCTGTTTGTGGAGCTGGCCCTGGCCTAGGAGGTCCTCGGAGAAGTGACTCTAAAACAGACATGATCAAGGGCGTGGCCTCTCCTCTTCCACAGTGCGCAACACTGGCCACAGGCATGCATGACTCAGCACTGGAAAGGAAGTTGCAATCAAGTGAATTCTTCTTGGTGCTCAATTTCTTTTTTTCTTGTGGATACTGGGAATCAAACTCAAAACCTCGCGCTTGCCAGGCAGGCATTGTGCCACTGAGCTGAATCCCAGTCCCACGGTGTTTAATTTTTTTTTGTCTTTTTGAGACAGGGTCTTTCTATGCAGTTAAGGCTGGATTTGAGCTCACTTTGCAGCCTAGGTGGGTCTTGAACTTGAAACAGTCCTCCTGCCTCAGTCTGCTGAGTGCTGGGATTACAGGTGTGTGCCACCACGCCCGCACAAGGTGTTTAATTTTCATGAATGAACATCTGCAGGTGAGTGACACAGCTGGCTGCTGACTGCAGTGTGGGCTCATACAGGAAAGTACATTCAGAACCTGAACTTTCTTCTTGTAGCAAGACTTGGTGGCTTGGCTGCACCTGGGTGTGGCGGTGCCTAGGCTGTCTGAGCTGTGGCAGGGGAGGGGAGTGGGCCTGGGGCTGCTCCTGAAAGGACAGAGGCTGGAGGTCAGCGGTGAGGCCACAGCCTTGGACTCGAAGGTCACCTTCATTCGTGTTATCTTTACACACGTGTGCATGTATGTGTGCACGTACGTGCATGCACAGAGCCCTAATTCTGGTCTCTCCATATACTCTATCACTTGGTTTTTTACAGCAAATTATTTTAATTTCGTATCGTCATAATATGCTTTAACACCTAGTAGAGCGAATCTTTTTTTGCCTTCATTTTTATTATTTGCTTGTTTGCCTATGTTTAATTTTTCTGCAATAAACCAAGTATCGGTATCTAGTTGAGAAAAGGATCTTGTTTTTACATAAGTCCACATTTAATTTACAAAATTTACATATGTAACTTATACAGTGGAAGCTTCTAACCAGAAATAAGGTCCGCTTCATCTTTTATTCAAGTCTTGTTTTATGGCTCCTGCTAAAAGTTTATTTTTTATTCTCTTGAGGCCAGGTCTTACTGAATCATCTAGACTGACCTCAAACTTGGGATCTTCCGTCCTCAGCTTCTGGAATATTCTGGAGTAGCTGGGATTATAGGTGTGTGCCAGGGTGGCCTGCTCTGGCTAGGATCTGGAAGTTTTCTCTGTGCAAATCCTGTGTCTTCTCTCTCCCTCTCCTTCCCTTCCCATCTCCTGTCCTCCTCTTCTTGCTTTTGCGCTGTCTTTTCTTCTTCCGCTGAGCAGGTCTGTATTTACATCCGGAGAAGCAGCTCTTTCCAGAGCAGGCTCTGCTGCCAGCTGCCCAGAGTTCTAGATTTTCAGTTTTATCTGCATTTCCCAAGAGCATGGTGTTGTCCTCTTTGTTTTCCCTATTTCTCAAGTTCTTCCTTTGCCCTAAACCAACACTGAGCCAGAGACATAGTGAGATTATATCTGGGATTTCAGGATCAAGTTTAATAAAAACTTGGCGTAAGATGTGCTTTTTATCATGACAAGGAACTCATTTATTATCACTGCCTTCTTAGAATGTCATCAGGAATGCCGAGTTTTTAAAGTACTATTTTTAGCTTCTGTGTGGATTATTCTCAGGTGGTTTATTCTTTGAGTTATTAACAGGGTGAGTTATGTTAATAGGTTTGCTAATTTGAATTAGCCTTGCCTTCCTACAGCTGTGAAACAGCTGATAAGTTCTGTTTGGCCCGGGCTCATTGCTATTTTAAGAGCTCCAAAATTAAACTTGCTCATGTCTCTTCTGGCAAGGCTCTTTCTTTTGGGCTGTTTTTCAGCAGCATTTGCACCCAGACCTTGCCACTCCCAGCCAGGTGCCATCTGCTCTGGCACCTCCTGTCTGCAGACATCTGTGCCCATCTGGGGCTCTGGCCACAGGGCACTTCTGGGCAATATCTGTGCCCATCTAGGCAGCTTCTCACTGGGTGCAGTTGCTTTTGTTTGTGATCCACCCAGATGAGCTTTTGCTTTTGGTGAATGCCGTACACAGCCATACTGGGTTTGAATCCTGCATTCAGGTGTGACCTTTTGGGCTGTTAAATCGACTCACCATACCTCAGTTTCCCCATTTGTGAAATGGAGATGGTAATTGGGCCTGTCTCCCCAGCCTTTGGGGGATTTCACTGCTGACATGTGGATTTCTTAGAAGGACCGCACTCACCGTAAACATGTAAACATCATGGGACTGCTCACTGTTGCTGTGATTAATGTGGGGTGCTCTGCCCAGCGGGGTGGGGGGCAGCCAAACCTCCTGATTATTCTCAGTCCCGGGAGCCCCCTGCTGAGCCACAGGTGCAGTGGCCTGTGCTTGGGCAGGCGTGGGCTGCACCCCAAGGACACTGCTGGCTGCTTCTTTCCCAGGACTCAAACTGATGTGTGGGTCTCACGTCTCTGGATCCGGTGTGGGAAACCAGGGGGTGGCCTGTGAGAGCTGTCTTCCTCCATGGTGGACACTATGCCTGTGACAGCCCTTTCCTCCGTGTGCCCTGGACACCGGAGGAGGAACAGCCATGGGGACTGCCCCAGCACACATGAGAGGCTGTCCCCTCTCCCAGGGAGGCGGGGAGAACATGGAGCCCCTGGAAGGGCTGAGGCTCTTGCCACAGTGGCTGAGAGGGACAGTTTAGGTGCAATGGCAGAGAGCACCCTGGAGACCTGGTCAAGAGGCCAGCAGGGCAGGTGCTTCTCCTTTGCTAGGGAAAAGGGGCTCCCCTGTGGCCGAGCCACTGGCCTCCTCTCTCCAGGGTGTGGGGTCCCCGAGGCCTCACCCGAAGACACAGCCAACACTGTGACTCTGTGGGGCTCCCGCTGGGGTCCCTGTCTCCCTTCCCTGATCTCTGTTTGTGGAGCAATGTGTTGAAAAATATGGACACAGATTTAACAAGGAACAAACAACAGGCGTCTGCTGACCGGGCTTCGCTCCTCTTAGTAATAATCAGAAACTTGGAAAATACAAAAGAGGGCAGAAAGGGGATGAAAATAATCTGTAGCCTCTCCCTCAGGGCCGGCTGCGGGGCGCCTGCTGGCTGTGGGTTTCCCATCCTTCCCTGGGCAGATCCCAGCGCTGGTCAGAGAGGCTTGCTGCCCCCTCGTGGTCACCATCTGGGCAGCCCCCCAGCCTGGGGCAGGGCCGGGCACTCAGCCTGCTCTCCTGACTTCCAGGAAGGCAGGGCCTGGAAGGGCGCTCAGCCTTCACGGGGCTCAGACATCACCCACGGGCCTTTCTGGCTTTCTTCGGTCTATTTCTTCTTCTTCCTCCTTTTTTCTTTGTCAAAATCTTTTGGTCGTTCCCCTGCTTTTTTCTCTTTAGGTTTCAGAGATTGAACCCAAGACCTCGTGCTTGGTGGGTAGGTATTCCCCTCTGAGCTCTAGTCCCAGCCCTCTTATTAAATTTTGAAGAGCTTTTAAAGTTTTTTTTTCTCTTGAAATAACTTTGGAGTTAAGGGTACAGAAACAGAAACAGGCATCTCTATGTTCCTCAGCCCGGCTCCCCAGCACTGGTGCTCCACACCGCGACCTTACTGTGGCCAAACCTAGGGTTAGAGCACTCAGGCCGTCGTCAGCCCCCCAGCAATCTCCTGGCCATCCGCGTCCTGCGTGTGTCCCCGGCCCAGGGCCATCAGTGTCCTGGCTTGCAGTTAGTCACTGGGGAGCCTTGGTCCCTCAGTCTGGAATGGTCCCCGGGGTTTACTTATTGATTTATTTTGTCTTCAGTGGTCAGTTTGTTTGTCTGATGTCTTCTCATGATTAAACCGGTAGTGACACAGTGTCTGCCATGGTGTGGATGGGGTCACTGTGTGGCATGACCACAGACGCTCACCAGGGTCACCAAGTGACGGTGCTCCCTGCAGGTAACCCCTCTTAGGGTCCTGATTAATTCACTCCTGAATACACTTCCATTAGGCACTGACTTGTAATGCTTGGCAGTGTCATCTTTCAGCTGCAGAGCTGGACACTTCTGCTGGTGTTTCTGTCCTCTGGCCCCTGGAGGAGAGGGAACAGAGTGTGTCGGTAACTGCATGGAAGCCAAGTGGTCTAGGCAGGGCTCCGGGCTTGGCATGGCTCTGCGAGGGGTGAGCGCTACACAGTGGACCCCATTGCACTGAGTGGGAGTGACTTTAAATGACATAACTGTTCGTCAGCTGTCCCTGGGATAACATACCTGAGGCTATCAATTTAAGAGGAGCAAAGGTTTATTTGGATTATGATTTAAAGGCTTCAGTCCATGGTTCCTGGAGCCCACAGCAAGGTAGCACATCACGGCAGAGCGCAAGGTGGAGCAGGACCGCCGGGGGCAGAAGAGAGCAGTGTGTGCGGGGTCCTGGCATCCCTTTGAGACCACGCTGACAATACCCTTCCTTCCTTCCCCTCATCTCCATCTCCTCAGGGTTCCGCTACTTCCAGCAGCACCACAGACCAGCTGCCCCGCCGTCAGCCTGTGGCCTTGGGTTCTGTTTTTCAAGGTGAACTCTAACTACGGGCAAGATGACAACTCACCATGACACCAGGGACCCTAAGCCTGCGGAGAGGAGCAGCTTGTAGCAAATCCCAAGAGAACCCTGCTTCCTTCCGGCCATCGCCACCTCCTCTGAGCTCCACCTGAGTGCCCTACTTCCGTTATCCCTCTCGGGGCTCAGGAAGAACAGTCTCCCTGTCCACAGGCTCTGTCCCTGCAGACTGATCCAACTGTGGGTCAAAAGTATTTGAGAATTAGATGGGCGTGGTGGCTCAGGCCTGTAATCCCAGCATTTGGGAGGCTGAGGTGGGAGGATCGTTGTGAGTTCGAGACCAGCCTGGGCTACAAAGTGAGCTCAAGGTCAGCCTGAACTGCATAGCGAGACCCTGTCTCAAAAAGCCAAAAAAAAAAAAAAAAAGTATTTGCGAATAGAAGAACACTGAGTTCATACTGAACACCTTGAGACCAGTTACCATTATTCCCTGAACGGCAAAACTGTTCCTGTGACATTGGCACTGCGTTGGGTGTTACGAGTGATCTAGAGATGCTTCAGATGTACAGGAGGATGTGTGTAGGTGAAACGCAACCACCACCCCGTTTTGCATTAGGGGTGCAAAACTCGAGCGTGCATAGGCTTTGGGATTTGCAGGGCATCCTGGATCCAGTCCCTCAGATAATGGGCCTTGACTGGGAGCTGCCGGGTTCTCTACCTGCACTTGAGCCATATCTCAGTAAAAAGAGAGTTTTGGTGGAGAAGGGGAAGGGGGCTGTGTGCAGGAAGCATCCTAAGTGAGAACAACATGGTGGCTCTGGGAAGCTTCTGGCCCGTCTTGGTCTTCACAGATGCTTCTCTGCAGGTCCCTGGCAACTCTGGGGTTCACTTCCCGTCTTTAGAGAAGCTTCTTCCATGCAGCTGGGAGGATTCCTGGCAGTTGATCGGTGCTCTGGAGCCGAGGACCCCATCAGCCTCCATGGAAGAATCGGCACCCGGCCTTGTGCTGTGGGGGTCCTCCTTGCCCTGCACCCTGCCTGTGAATCAGAGTCTGTTCCAAGTAGAACCTGGCCCTCCTCTCAGCCAGCTGTACTACTGTATGTTCTGTGAAACCAGAACATTCATGCATGTCTTTGGCAGACATGTTGCTTTAATGGAGAGATCAGAAAGGCTGTCAAGGGCTCCCATCTACCAAGTGGCGGCATCAGCGGGGCAGAGCAAATCTATGAAGGCCTCAAGCTGACTGCTGGGCTGAGTGGTTGTGCCACGGTTTTCTTCCATCCCCTTTGGAAGATCAGGGTCGTCCCCAGGGGTGAGAAGAAGGTTCCCCGGATCCCCCGGCCACAATGCGGGGGTCTTTAGGCCTGAGCAGGAATGGGGCTCTTGGATGCTATGTGTGGACTCTATCCTGAGATGGATTTCCAGGACCTCCTGGACTCTGGGGGGACCACTGAGGGTCCCAGCTACTCACCAGAGAGCTCCAGCTGCAAGGCACCCCCACTTTTGGCATATCACATATCAGAGGTGCTGAGATAGAGCTGCTCTGATGCTTCAGGACAGCAGCTGGGATTTGGTGGTTGATACATTGTGTCACCTTGAGAAGTCTGGAAGGTTAAGGAAGTGACTCAGCAGGGGCCAGGGTTCTCACTTTGTAAACATCCTGAGCCTGTGCAGAGGAGGGCAGGCTGAGTGCTGCATCCACCCTGGGCAGGGCGTGGTAGCCTGCCTACACTCTAAGAGAGGCGAGCTCTCCCCCACTACTTTTTACTCTGGCTGCTTTTGCTGTCTTCTGTGGCCTTAAGGTGTTGCCCCAAGGCAGTGGTGTTGGTGGAGTTTGCTGGCGGTTTGATCACTGCCACAGACTGAATTCCCAAGGCCTGGCCTCCAGGGACTCTGGAGAAAGGATCTTTGGAGGTGCTAAGGTTACAGTGGGGTATAGAGGCATGCCTTTGTCTAGAGGCCTGTAGCCCAGTGCTGTAGATCCAGTTGCCTGAGCTGAGGTGGGAAGATGGCTTGAGCCCAGGAGTTCGAAGCCAGCCTGGGTGGTACACAGTGGGCAGAATTCTGTACTCACAGCTGACTCTGGGGTCTTGGCAAGGCCAACACATGGCAGAGGACAAGGATCCTATGCAGCAGGGGATGTTCCTAGAACAATGTGTTGTCTTTCTTTTTAGGAAGAAAGTTCTGGCTGGCCTCGAACTCATGGTGATTTTTCTGCCTCCGCCTCCCAAGTGCTGGGGTTACAGGTGTGAGCCACTATGCCTGGCCTTCGTATGTCGTAATGTTTTCTTTTCTTTTTTTCCTTTCTTGATGTTGGAGACTGAACCGAGGGCCTGGGTGAGGGAGGTAAAGGTAGAACTCCACCACCACCTGTTTACTTTCTCTCTTTTTGAGATAAGGTCTCACTAAGTTGCCAGGGCTGGACTTGAACTTTGATCTTCCTGGCTCTCAGCCTAACAGGTAGCCTGGATTACAGCTGATCTGATCACTTCCCCAAAGCCCATTGGCAGCCTGAAGTTCTACACAGTGAGGCCCTGGGGGGTGTTTTAGATAAGGGCTTCAGCAGGCTGCGGTGCTTTCCCCCTCTGAGGGCCGGAGGAGGAAGGCTGACCTCAGGCTGGGCTGAGGCTGCCGGCCCAGCTCCATCACTGAGTGCTGGGCCTGCAAGGGGCTGTGCTAGCTCCTGTGGAAATCCTATTCAGGGGGTCTCAGGGCAGCACCGACTTTGGACGGACGCTGAGACGCGACGGGAGGCCTGGCCATGCTGTGTAGGGCACCCTGGAGCACTGCGACCCTGGCGGCAGTGCCCACACGGGGCCCTTGCAGCCAGCCTCGTGACCGCCTGGAACGGAACGCAGGTTTATTAAGACTGGGGGATGCAAGGCACACTGGGCCCCAACTTCCAAACCGCCATGAGAAATGGCCCTAGGGCCGTGGTGTGCACCCCGGACCCCTGCTGCCCCAGGATGTGGATTCTGCCCCAGGATACGTGCGGAGGGCTGGGGGGGTGGTTAAATGGGGTGCTCTTCAGTGGAGGCTGCTCACTACTCTCCTTGGGATTTCATGCAGCAAGAACAGAGGGTTTGAGGGGCTCAGGGCCCGCAGGAGTCTCCTGGGGACACTGATACCCACGCCCCTGCGCCCCTCCTCACTGCTCTTCGCCTGCCCAAGGAACAGGGCCAGGAAGGGAATCTTCGCCTTCTGCTTTTCTTTTCTTTTTTTTTTTTTTCACTGCTGAGTACTGAGCCCAGGGCCTTGTGCAAGCAATGAGAAAAGCCTCAGGGTCGACACGGAAGAATCCGACCTCACCCATCCAGGAACTCGTTGTCTAGTGGGAGAGCTGGGCACACACACACCGTGTTCGCTGGTTTCTGAGGGTTGCAGAGGTGGCTCCACCACCAGGGGGCCCATAACTCCAGGTTACAGGCCCACGAAGCCATTTCGTGAAGAGCAGGCAATGGAGCCAAACCCAGTCCCACAGCTGCCACAGTGAACATCTTGTTCTTTCGTTTTAGATGTCAACAAGAGTGTATGGTTTCAGGCCAGGTGAGGTGGTGCACTCCTGTAATCCCAGCTCTCAGGAGGCTGAGGCAGGAGGGTTGCCTCAGATTGGAGGCCAGCCTGGGCTATATAGTCAGTTCAAGACTAGCTTGGACTCCATAAGGAGACCCTGTCTGAAAAAGACCAAAACCAAACCAAACCAAGACAGAAAAAGGTGATTTCAAAGCCCTTTCTCGTGGCAGCTCTTCCTCAAGTCTCTTTAATGGCTGCATAGTACTCCATTGCAGAATGGTGACTGTTACTGCTGGACAGTTAAGCTGCTCTGAATTTCTGACTCTTAGAACATCCTTTTTTGTTGTTTTTTGTGTTTTGAGACAGAGTGTCTCTATATAGTTGAAGCTAGCCTTGAAATCACTGTAACCCAGGCTAGCCTCAAACACAGCAATCCTCCTGCTCAGCCTCCCGAGTGCTGGGGTTACAGGTGTGGACTACCACATCTGGCCAGATGGAACATTCTTGTAATCGAGTACAGATATGATTTTGTCTCTTTTTCTTGCTTTCTTTTTTGGTATTGGGGATGGAACTCATGGCCTCGAACTTGCCAGGCAGGTGCTTATGCTGCTGAGGTAAATCCTTAGCCCCTGTCTCTTTTTCACTTATGTTCCTTTGTATATATTCCTCAAAGTGGAGTTATTTTGTTGAAAGATAAAAAGAATTCGTGTCTTGAAATACATTGTTAAATTCTAATTTTCAGACTCGCTCCTCTTGATGTTTACCTTCATCAGCAGCAGAGTGTGTGTGTGCATGGGTGCACAAGTACGTGTGTGCCTTCTGTCCTAAAGTCTCAGCACTCTCAGTTTTCGTAGTTTGGAGGGTGTCATGGGTTATGGCAGTGGCCCCCAAGCCTCACACAATTATGGACACGATCAAATCTAGCGTTTGTGATTGGATCATTGTCTAGTGCGTGGATTGGTGGTGTGAGTGTTTCACCCACCCAGGGGTGGAGCCAGCACACGATGTAACAGTGGGAAGAAGGTGTGTGTCTCTGATGCAGGTTTGTGCCTTGCTGTTTGCAGGGACCGTGAGTGGCTGACCCTTGACACCAGGCTACCTCAGAGCCAGCTGAGTATGGACTGAAACTTCCCCCCTGTAAGAAATAAACCTTTTCTTCCCTGACTTTGGGCACCGGTTATTTTGTACCAGCAGTGAGAAAAGAGTTACCAAGACAGAGGGTAAAAGTGCCATTCCACTGAGTTGCAAATCTGTGCTTATCTAATTACTGTGAGGTCACACATTTGCACATGTGTGTTTCTTCTTTGTTTGAAGTTTCTGTTTCTTGCTTGTTTTTCAGTTAGGTTTCTCTCACCTGGTTTTGAGCCCTTAAACACAGTTGTCTTGGGTGCTACCGAGGGTGGAGGATTGGTGACCCCTGTGGACACCAAAATCATGGTTTAGAATCTATACTTACTGCCTCATGCAAAGGGAGTGTAACTGTTCAGTTGTAAGACATTCCTGTAGGAAAATGGATGCACTTGGAGACTGTAATGTTAAGTGAAGTAGCTGAGACACGCAGGCTTAAATATTGTATGGTTAGTCAGTGTGGTGACTTACGCTGTAATCCCAGCACTCAGGAGGCTGAAGCAGGAGGATCCCTGAGTTCGAGGCCAGTCTGAGCTACAGTGAGTTTAAGGCCAGCCTGAACTGTATGGTGAACCCTGTCTCAAAAAACAAAACAAAACATATGGTTTCTCTCACTTGAGAAACCCAAAGTATAAATAAAGAGCAAAATAAAAGATGTGTAATAGGAAGTAGGAGACAAGAACTTTCTTAAAGAGGAGGGGACCAAGAGATGAGGTGACGGGGAGGAACTGGGGTGCATTATGTGCACGTACCAACTCCATACACAGCATGCCCAGACTGATCAAATGAAATTTAAATAAATATCTTTGTGGTGTCAGTTTTATATTTTTCTAATCCACTGAACATTTACTTTGCTAAATACCGTGAAGTTGGGCTCTGAACTGATTTCTTTGATCTACCTTTTTATCAGCACACTTTTGCATCTTAGTGCACGCATGCCTCGTAGGGAATTCGCCCCTGGACATCATGGGCCTGAATTCTTCTCTTCCCCCATTCCTCTGCCCTCCCTTCAACTCTGCCTCCTCTCCCCACTCATGAAAGCGTTGTTCCCATTTTTCACTCCATTCTCTTGAAACCCCTTTCCCTTCCTCCTTCCCTCCCCTCTCCCTTGGTCCCTTCCCCTTTGAACTTGTCTCTCCTACTTCCCAGTACTTACCCTATGTTTCGCTCCTTATTTATCCTTTGGTTTCTTATACAAGAGAAACCGTGAGATACTGACACTTGGGTGTTGGGTTTATTTCACTTATGACTGGTCTGGAGGTGCCTCCGCTTCCCTAAAAATGTCTCAAGCTTATCCTTCTATATGCCAGAGTAGTACTTCATCACATGTAAATGCCACATGTTCTTTATCCATTTGTCTTTTGATGGGCATGTGGGCTCTTTCCAGTATTTAGCTATCATAAAGTGCACTGCTATAAACATGGGTGTATCACTATGGAACGATGCTTTTAACTCTTTTGGGAAGATAGAAGGGGACCAGCTGGTTTCAGTGGAACCTCTACTTTTAGCTTTTTAACGGAATCTGGATACTGATTTCCACAGTGGTTGCACCAGTCTACACTCCCACCAACAGTGGAGAAGGACTCCTTTTCCCCTACAGCCTCACCGGCATTTGTTGTTGGTTGATTTCTTGACGACAGACATTCTTTCTTGAGTGAGATGGAATCTTAATGTTTTAATTTGCATCTTTTGAATGACCAGTGATGTTAGATATTTTTTCACATATTTATTTATTGTTATATTTCTTCATTTGAGAAGGGTCTATTCATTTTAGATGCCCATCTTTTGAACTGAGTCTTTAAATTTGAGGGGGTCTGCTTTTTTGATGTTTTTACATATTCTATATATTAGTCCTTTGTCTGAGGAACAGCGGGCTAAATATTCTCCTGTGCTGTGGGTTGTCCCTTTACTCGGTTGGTGGTTTCTTTTGCTGTCCAAAAGCTTTTACATTTGATGTGTTTCCAGTTGTTGATTCTTTATAGTATTTTCTATGTAATCAGGGTTTTGTTCATAAAGCCTTTGTCAATTCCTGTGTTTTTAAGAGCTTTATCTATTCTGCCTCCCAGCAGATTTAAGGTTTGTTTTGATATTTTTACTTTTGTTCTATTTTTATATATATTTTAAAATTTTTAAACTTTTATTTTAAAGAGATTAAGACAAAAGAGGACAGAACAAAGCAGATCAGAACAGAACAGTGTAAGCAACACAGCACTTCACCACAAGACAACCGGATATTAACAGTAGCTACAATGATGTCTCTTTCTTTGAAATAGTTCGGCATACCTTCACATACAATAGTATCAAACTTAACAAAAGAGTATAAATCCATTCAAGAGAATGAAGGTATTACAGGGAATTCAGAACCAAATAACAGGAAACAAACAATAGCTACTCTATTATCTCATTTTCCATAGAAAATTTGTTTATACTATCACACATAATAAAATCCAGTAAGATACAATATGATAGAACCAATGGAAACAGAAGAACAAAAGCATGGTAGGACTTCAAAGCAAGATGATATTAAGTCAGCAATGGTAGCCATAATGGCTTGTTTTCTTCAAAATAGCTGTTCATTGTTTTTATATTTAGATATTTGATCCATTTCAGTTTTAGTTTAGTGATGATGAGAGAGATGTATATAGATTGAATCGTTGGCATGTGTAAAGAGACTTTCTTTCAGTGAAGATGTTGGCCCCTTTGTCAAAAATAAGATACTGTGGGCTGGGGGTTTAGCTCAGCGGCATAAGCGCCTGCCTGGCAAGTGCGAGATCATGAGTTTGATCCCTGCCCCTCAATAAGGCAGCTGAGTGTGCCTGAGGCTGCTTCTGCACTTTCTGTTCGGTTCCATTGACTGTCAGGTCTGTTTTTCTGCCGGTACCACACTGTTTTATCCCAGTGGCTTTGCAGCATGACTGCAGATCAGGGACTGTGATGCCCCCTGCCTTGGCCTTGTTGTTCTCATCACTATTCTAGGTCTCTTCTGGTTCCAAATGAATTTTAGAATGGATTTTTTTTTGTAGCGGGGGGGGGGGGATCGAACTCACGACCTGATGCTTACCAGGCAAGCGCTTGATCCTCTGAGCTTAATCCCCAGCCCTAGGATGGATATTTCCAGTTCTGTGAATTCTGCTGCTGGTATTTTGATTGAGATTGCAGGAAATCCATATACCAGTGTTGGAAGTATGGCCGTTTTCACTACATTGGTTCTGTCTATGAACAGGGAATGTCTTTCCCTATTCTGAGGTCCTCTTCAGTGTCTTTTCAGAGTACTGTAGTTTTCAGTGTAAAGGTCTTTCAATTTCTTCATTAGTTTGATTCATAGATATTTATTATTTTGGTGCTACTATAAAAGGTTTT